GCGCCGTCTCGCTCGTATATTCACTTACACATGGCGACGTAAGGGTCGTAAATCGGGACCACGCGATGATTTTTGCTCGCCGAGTCCTTGAATTAACGCAACAATGCCAAACGTCAGCGATGCCTCCCGAAAGCCGGCAGGTATATCTTTCTACCTTTCTCTTTCCTTTCACGGCTCGAGCCCACCTCCCCTCGCTACCCCGGGGATGCTGTCGATATCGCGGATTCCCTTTGCACTTACCAGAGCCGTCATTGTCATTTAAATATGGCCAACGAGCACTTGCTGCGGGCTACCATGATATTACTCATTTTGAAACTGAAAGCATCATTATGGTCTCTCTCTCTCTCTCTCTCTCTCTCTCTCTCTCTCTCTCTCTCTCTCTCTCTCGTCTTTCAAAGCTCGGTTGTTTTGCGAGCTCTTTTTATTAGGAACTACCGTATGCTATAAAGGTAGGATATATCGTGCAGTTCCTGCTTTTATTCTATCTGTTTTATTATTCGCGACGTTACAGTGCAGCTTATATTTTTTCCTTTTTCTTTCCTCTTTTGTTTTGGGTTTTTTTTTCATTTCTTTTTTTTTATTTATTTATTTTTTTTATTCCTTTTAGCTACCCCTGTGCAAATATTACAAAGGACATCTGCAAGATTGACAACGCAATAAGTTTGTTATATATTATGCAGTTGCCGAATTCGTGAACGCTTCGTTCGCCGTTCGGTCGTGTAGATCGATCAAAGTCCAGCTTTAAATTACTCGAAAATTATAGTTACTTTTCTTTCGAAAGACGTGGAAACTTCCCCATTGATCAACCGCAGCTGTTTCATTAATGAGCACCTAGTTTTTTCTTTCTTTCCTTTTTTAAGAACAAAAGATGACAGGAATAATAGTTGTCACTGTAATTCGATTGAATTTCCAATCGACTACTTCAAGTAAAGTTTCCAGCCATCCCAAAAGTCTATTCTAATTCGGCTTAGAAACTGATTGCTGTTCAAAATTAACTATGTCTATTGAAGTCAAATCAAATGCCACTCTAAGTCGATCTAATAAGTACTCGTGTAAATATCTCGTGTAAAAATTATTAATTATTTGCGGTGTATATAACAACGGAATTATTGTAAATGTCTCTTCACATTTATAACATCAAACCAATGCGTTGGCTAATAATCCATTATTATTATTATTATTATTATTATTATTATTATTATTATTATTATTATTATTATTATTATTATTATTATTATTATTATTATTATTATTACTATTACTATTGATATTATTATTATTATTATCATTATCATTGTCATTATTATTATTGTTATTATTCGTAAGAAATTGTATTAAGTTCGAGAGAGATATCCAAACTCGTGCTTGTAAGAAAGCTTAACGGCTGAAATAATGGCTGAAAGCTCCTTGTACGCACATTAAAGTGGTACAATTTCATTCCTTTAGATAGCTCGAACCTTCCCTACGACTGATTATAATAAACATTTGGAGTAATAGTAATAGTGTAATGAGCAGGCGCGCTAATTGTCGCAAAAATAAGAGCGATGATTGCAGATAGCGCGGAAGCTTTGTTAATCTGAAACGCAGATACGTAGAACGGACATCCAAATATCCAAAACTGCATCCAGGACAAATCCAGCCCTTTCGTAGGCTCGGATATTCGCGCGAATTATTTCACAATCCCTCTCCTCTCGTTGAGTCTGACGTAAGGATTCACCGCCGCGCCCTTTAGCTGCCGTCACGCAACCGTTGCATCTCTCCGTGACTCGCCGGACGACTTATCCCGGTACTTTCTCTCTCGCTCCGTCTCAAGTACGTACGCGCCTCGATACTCGCGTTTCGCCAAGCGAGAGTCCGATGGTCTTTCGCTGCCCGAGCGTGAAAGGCTGCATGAATGGGAATGCGCGAGATGCGCTTCCGTTGAAAACGACGCGATAAAGAGTGGGCGCTCACCTCCACCTCTGTTGCAATGATCGATTATGTAATGATAACAGGTCTCATTAAGTCATTACTTATGTGTGCTTGTGTTTTTTTGCTTTCTTATTTTTTTCTTTCTGAAATTACGTATTTCGTATGAAGCCTCCTGCGCTTCCAGGTACTCCTCGTCCTTTCACGAAATTATTCAAATTATCCTCGAGAGTATAATATTGCACTCCGCGCATTAATAGTAGTAATCTAGCGTGCATTTATCAATACCACTTGTATTATTAATGTCGCGATTAAAGTTAAACGGATAGTGCAAGGATGATAGATGGAACTATGATTTATAGAATTTTTGTGAAGCTAAGCTAGAAGGAATAAACTTTTATTTAAACATCTAATGGGACAAAAGTTATGAATGCGATAATCATGTAATATGATCTCTTTACTAGATTAGATTACGACGAATAGCAGTTTGGACCGTTCGAATGGGTTGACTAAAGCGTTAACCGATCTCGCGTGGAATAAACGATGTTTACCACACCTTGTCATCTCCTCGGCTATGATAATTCGGTTATACGGCGATTTGCTTTTTTTTTCTTTTTTTTTTCTTTTTTTTCTTCTTTTTTTCTTTTCTTTTTTTTT